CCCACTCTTGTTTGAAGCCATCCGAAGTTAGTTCGTGAAACCCGCCCCTTCGACATCCATTCGGCACTTACCCACACTTGAACGAAGGATGATTCGAGTTACCCATTGTTTGGCATCGGACAAGCAAGCGCGAAACCTTTCGAACTTGTATTTTGAAGCCCGAACCTCCTTGGCGTTGACCCACTCTTAACTGAAGTGGGTTCGGTGGAAGTTAGTAAGTAATGACTCATTTAGACCCGTTGTTGGATTTTATTCAAGTGTTTATGTTTGGATTCTAACTCAAGCTTGTATCTTTGTTTTAGGAAGTTTTCGGCGGAGCTTAGGAGTGTTAGGTTCTTTGTTAGTAAGTAGTTTCTTACTTGAGGGGATTGGTTGTTGTGTGCTGTTATGATATGATTGTTTGCTCGTGTGCTTATGTGTGATATTTGCATGATTGATCGTCGTTGTTATCATTTAGTAAACGTCATTGTTGATAAAACTGTTGATATGTCCTACGGAAAAAGAATACGTGATTGTGTTAATGAATTCCAAACATGTAATTTTGGATGGCTATGTTTGAATTGTCGTTACGTTCTAATTGAACTGCATGATGAAGATTGTATACTGGTACTATAGTTTGTTGTTTCGAAGGCATATTGAATATGTGTGAGAACTCGGGTGTGTTTGAACTATGCTGGGTATTTGTTGATTATATTTTGGTTAAGTCATTGGTTTGAGGTTATGTTCTGGTTGGGCTGAATGAAAAAGTTGTGTTAACTGTTTTGGTTCTATGATCGTTGTCTTTGGAGCATGCTAACTTTTGTGCGACTCGTGTTTGAAAATGAACTATTGAGAACTTGTTGATAAGATATTTGTTGGCTTCCTTTCTCTGAATTCAAAGCATGCTGAATGTTAAGAGAAATGTACTCTTGTGATGCTTGATGACATGTCTGAATGATATTTGTATATGTCCGTGCATAAAGCATGCAGCATTGTTGTGAGATAATTTAAGCATGGGTCATGGCTT